TAAAAACATCGTGGTTCGAATTACGAAGCAACAAAAAAATGAAATTTATAAACTTCCTTCGTCTTAAATTAAGTTGTTTGTTCACTATTTATAAATTCACACTTCATTCACTTTATGTCCCAATTTTTGTTAATGATTTGATAAAATAGTATAGTCAGGTCACTACTAGTTTTGTATTCCGAGTACATCTTTTGATCTAGATTTCTAATATGTAACTTTACTTTTTTAATTCGATACCATTTTTCATATAAAATTATTTAAAAATAATTTCAGTCAAACTTAATAAACCAAAACAAATATTTAAATAATGATGGAGAGAGTAATAAAACTCCAAAGTGTGCTAGCTAGGCTTGGAGCAAGTTTAAGATGGGTGACATGGCGCTCACACTACTCCAAAAACGAGCAAATGGATTGCCTCATTTGAATCGATTACATAAAAAATCGATTCAAATGAGGTTTTTTGCCATCTGCTTTCCTTTGAATTATTAGTAATATCCCTCAGCCTCATAGATGCATGTAGTATGTAACACTTAAAAATAGGTATAGTATCTACTCTCTCCGTCCCAATTTATAGTGTCTGTTTCGGTTTACGATATTTGACTAAAACTATTTTCAAATCATTTTATACGACAAATAGTATAGAGTTAAAAAATAAAAATTACATATTAAAATACTACATCAAATTTTTTTTGTTCAAAACTAGTAGTGACAATAGTATTTTATTTTATCAAATTAGTAACAAAAATAGAGAAAAAAATGAATAAAGTTTAACTCTGTGAATATTAAACAGACACTGTAAATGGAGATCGAAGGAAGTTATAATTTATTATTAAAAAAATGATATGCTACTCCATACGTGATAGGGGTAATTTCTTGGTTATACTTTTGTCTTAGGCTCATAGCCTCTTAATTATGATACTGGAGTTTTTTTTCTAGTATGAAGAAGTAAGAATGAAAGATTACTTGTTATTAAAAAAAGGTCATTTTTAAGTGATATGGATTCAATTACAATTTAATACTTGATAATATTATGGTAAAGTTAATCAAAGTAGAAAATCTATATATATTGTTTATTGATTAATTCTTTAAAAGAGATCACATCTTAATTTATATAAAAAAAGAAAGAACCTTAGCTAACCCTTATTAGAATAGAAACCTATATAACGATTCAATAAAAACGACGATGGAAAGAAGTCAAAGAACTATAAAGAAACATTAATGAATTTATAATTTCGTTCACCTAATAAAAGCTAGATGATGATAATAATAATAATAATAATAATAATAATATTAAATGTATTTAAATATCCTACATAGTCTACAATTCATAACAATCTATTTGATTATTTGTGGTAAATCCCGCAAACAAATTAAATGAAACAACATTTTCTTCAACATTTACTTCAAGCTCACATTGATGCAACGTGGTAAATTCCTACAAATCAAGAAAACACATCTAAAGTAAAAAAAGAAGAAGATAAATACTGAAAAAAAATCTCAAAAAAATGAAGGTTATGTTTCCGCCGCCGCGAAAACTAATGAATTAAGGCATGCATGCAGTTCTTGTCCCGTCCGCCGCCGCGGACAATCAAACACCGACGGCGACGCCATATAATTCATCAAAACAGAAGGCGCACGCAGCGTCACCGCAGCCGCCGCCGCCGGACTCTTTCCTCAGAAGCTCCTCGTCCTCCTCCTCGACGACACCGCTCTCCGGCGGCAACTCTTCCCCAAACGCTCCGCCGAGAGTCTCGATTTCGACATTAATGTGCATCCGGTAAGTCCACCGCCCGCTCGCAACAGTTTCGAAAGCGTGCATGGCCACGTCGGAACTGATGCGAGCGGCGGGTTCTGGGTCCCACCCGAAGAACCTGCCGACGACGCCGGAGAAAAATGCGGAACTGTAATTAGTTAACATTAATTTAAATAGTTTACATTTACTCACTACGGTGTATTACTTGTGTATTAAACTTTTTTTTAAAGTTTCTAAGAATATGCATCTCATTATTTTGAGATATATTCCTTTTGTCCAAAAAAAAATGTTTAGAATTTGATTTATTTGGTCAGTTGCTAAACACTTTGGTCATTGATAAATATAATTTTAAATCAATAAATATTACAAAATTTGAAACATCAAAACTGTGTTACATTTATATTAATCCCTCCGTCCCTAAATGATTTACATATTTTACTATTCAAAAATTACGGAAACTTTTATTTATTTGTGTGTTTTCATTGACTATTTGACGAAATAAAATATTCTTGTTATCTCTTATTTTGTAAAACATTTGATACTTTTTTTTAAATATGTAAGTTTTATTTTTTATTTATATACTTATCTTTAAATAAAATGAATCAAAAAAACTTGAGATTTTACTTCGTTTTCGTATAATTGTTGGACGAACATAAATCAAACCGTACAATTCTTTTTGGCACCGAAGGAGTTAAATACTTTTTCAACCTACATAGTTATATAAACTTTTTTCACATTTTAAAAACAAAATTTTATATATATTTTTAAAATTATTTACCATTTTTCCTTTTAATACATTTCAAAATAAAAAAATTGTACAGTGTATTAAATTTATGGTGAAATTCAAATGACACTCGTTGAGAGTGTCATCCGATGCTACCGGTTTCAATTAGAAAACCTAGAGTCCTCCGTTCGCATAATTGATAGTACGTACTAGCCCTCTGACCTACGCTTGCATGCTTGATTGATTTTGTTTTTTTAAAGAAAGTAGAATCGATAAATGTTTACATAAAGTTTTCCATTCAAAATTACTACTCCATTCGTTCCACAAAACCCTTCCCCTTTCGTTTTTTTGAATTCCCTAAAACACTTCCACTTTCTATTAAAAAACTACTTTTACTCTTACTTTTTCATACCATACCTATCAGATCATACTTTTTCACTAATAACCAAACTATCACATCTTACTTTTATCCATCACATCAGGGGCAAAATTGGAAAGTGAACCAAAATTACACTTTTCTTATTTTTGCCAAAAGTCAAAAGTGGAAGGGTTTAAAGGAACAGAGGGAGTACAAGATTTCCAATGTTTTTTGTTCGTATTATTATTTTTGGATTAATTCTTGGTGAAGAATTATTAATTTTCATCAATATTTTGTGTATTAATTTTTTTTTAAATTTAAAGTGGGCGAGAACAAAACTTATTTTTATTAATATTTTCTGTATTAATTTTTTCAATTAATGTGAATGAGAAGAATATTTTTTTAATTAATAGCTTTTGTATTTATATTTTTTGTATAAATTTCCTTCAGAAATATTATTTTTTATTAATTTTTTATGAATTATATGATCAATCTTTGACTTTGCTTTTGAAGACAAAGAACTCATTATCGAGTTTGAAAAAAATAGTACTATAAAAATAATTTAAGACTTGATGTTTCTATTATGAAGTTTGGGTGTCAAGAAGTCATGCATAGCTTGGGGTGTAAACGGATATTAATCGGATTGGATGTGCCATTACCAAATCCGTATCCGTTTATTTTTGTCAGATATCGAATTCGGATACGGATCCTGACGGATACTGAAAATCAAAACCGTATCTGCATCCGTCGGATATCGGATATATCCGTATCCGTTTCCAATTTTTAAAATCAAATTAAACAATACTTTAATTTTAAATTAGGTTAAATTCAAACTATTATTAAATCAACTATAATTTGGTATGGGATAATTATTTTCTTTATTTTCATGATTTATGATATTCTACGATAACTTCATATGATAAAAAGATATACACAACACACATATACACATATTTTTATATGATTGTACATATTTTATGTGTCTACACATTTATTTTGTATATAAAAATTTCTTATATTTTGAAATATCAATAGAGAAACAAAATATAAACATAAAAAATTAGGAAAAATTATATGTAACGGATCAGATATTTGGATAAACGGTTATTTAAACGGATGCATATTCGGATCGGATGTTAAACGGATCAGATATACAATTACCAAATCCGTATCCGTTTAGTAATCGGATACCCTTAATCGGATATGGATAAAATCCGTTTAAAACGGATGCGGATATTTCTTTTTAAACGGATTCAGATACGGACGGTAATCGGATTTTCGGTTATTCGTTGACAGCCCTATGCATAGCCATAAAAGATTCTAATATTTTGAAATATCAAAACATATATCTTTTACCCTCACTAAATTAGTTGTCGTGCCCGAATTACACTAAGAACTTATCATGCCTCGTTTGCAAAATTAATAGCTCTACCGAATAAATCCCCATGCACTCCTAACCAGTGGCGGATCCAGAAATTCGGATAGATGGGGGCACAGGTGCACAACTGATCAGAGATCCCAGAGTAGTGCCCCTGATTTTTTTAAATAGACAGTATAAAATGACAAAATAATAAATTTATTTTAAACATTTTTTGAATGTAAAATATTGTTTAATAGGTAATATAAAATTTTATTCCAAACAATAAAGTATACAGAGTATGCAATAAAATATACTTTACTTCAATAAAATTAATCAAAAAAAACTAAATTAGATAAGGTTCCATTAATTTTGTTGGGAATACATAATTGTAGATGAGGTCAACCCCAATTTTGATGGGGGCATGCAACCCCAAATATATAAATTTTTTCAAAAAAAAAAGAAATAGTTTAACACCAAATATTAGTAGGGGGCATTGGCCCCAATTCTTTCAGACTGGATCCGCCCCTGCTCCTAACCCGAACTCATTCTCCCACTCCTGTCAATTGCAGCCCGCAAGTTTAATTAATCTTGGAAACAAATTTGGATCGTTAACTAAAATTATGAGGCATAATTGATGGGAGTGCACAATATGTTCAAATCAAGAGTGGGTTGGAAGTTTTACCAAGAGGGTCAGGAATCATCAATTTGACTAAAGCACCACTCATATATATAGTACACACTACAAAGGAGTGCATCAAATATACCATCTCTATATACTTCATATGGCCTCCATCTACTCTATATATATTCATTCCATTCTTTTTTATCTAACGATTATAACCTTCTTGATACATTGAAAAATGAATAAATGTAGACATACAGTACGTCCGTATTCGTCCAATTTTGTTGTATCACAAAAGTCGCGAGCTAAATCAGAATGGAGGGAATATACACACACACACACACTTGCTAAGCTAATAAAAAACACACAGCCATTCATCATAGTACACAAACACCATTTAAATTCACTGTGATCAAAAGAGAAGATTGTTGAAAAGCCAGGAATGATTTGCCGCCACCTGGTTAGAGGGCTGAGCCGCCGCCTGAAGACTTGGTGGAATGCACGCCGTATTTTGATTCGCGGGCGCAACTCAGGGCTCTCCCGTACTGAATCTGAGGCGCCTCCGGGGAAGATGATGGTGGAGGAGAGAGGGAGCAGGGGGAGAGAGGCGCGCTGCAACCCGTCTGGTTAGATGAAGAAGCGTTGGCAGGGGAATCGGACTTCTTGACGAATCTGCCCCCAGTCCCCCTAGCCCTCCTCAGAGCATGCTGGTGTCTGGATTCATGGAGATATGGCTGCATTTGAAGAAGAAGGTTGTAAACAGACAAGGACGAAATGGGCATGTGACAAAAAGTATCCGGGGGGAAGAAAAAACAAACCTTTCTAACTTTGATAAGCTTCTTCTGAAGTTCAGCTTTGGCACGGGACTCTCGTCTGCGAAGGATTCCGTGGTACTGTTTGGCATTCACGTAAACTGGTTCTTGAGTCATTTCAAGTGGCAATGGCATCCTCATATGGCTCATATCCACCATTTCAGGAGCAGGTACCTGAAGATGACCACAATTCTGTACTCTTCAATCAATTTACTAAAAAGCCCTCCTTAAACACCACTCTCCAATTCATGTCCTTTTTAGAAATGGGATAAATTGAAAAGCAGGGGAAAGAATATTTTGGGAGGGGGGATTTAATCTGCATAGATTTCATTTATATTGCGCGGATTCTTTAAATAAGTGTCGTTTTTCTTCTCAGAAACATCCCTATTTTGGTACATTAAACCCAAATCCTTTAGAAAAGTTGGAAAGTAGGTGAATCCGTCCGTGTGAAACTGTGAACAGCTAGGCATGCCAAACACTTTTTTCATGAACAACTAACACAACCCGTCGATCAAAATAGCCTATTCAACCAGTCATTCAAACCAACCCACACAAACAACCAACTGCAATTTCCAAACAAGGCCTAAGAAGATACAAGTCTGAACAATGATACAGCTCAAAAGGTGAGAAAAAAGTCAATCAAGTAAATAAAGTGTAAGGGGTCAAGCAACTTCACATACCAAGGGTTGACCATAAGCAGCTACCATCTGCCCAAAATATGGGTTAAGGTATGGAGTTGGAGCACAAGCCTGAAAACCAATAAACAAATGATTAATTACTAATTAATCTCAGCTTTTGAAATTTGGACCCAAAACTATCACGTCATTACCAATTATATTATAACTTTTGCACCTTCTGGGCACTTATCCAAACGACTTCCAGTTTATTTTCGCCGGAAAAGACAAATAGCCGCAATATAACGATAATTGTGCACAGACTGAATGTCCATGACCAACTGCGGGAAAAACCTAATCTTTGAAGAACCAAAAGTGCAAATATTTCTTGAAAAAAGCTACTCACTTACAATTGAATGTCCAACAAGTTCAAGTTGTTGTGGCGGCTGCGCAAGGGGCTCCTCACTTCCTCCAGGCACGAGTGATGCCACTCGCTGATTTGCTTGTTCCCTGTTTCCTTCTAACCTTGAAATGATGATCTCATAAGTAATAAACATTCATTTATACAAAACCGGGACGAGAGGCTATTTCCATTAGACCCTTGATGCATTATTACATTTACTACCAAAAACTTCATAGAAAATAAGAAGCAAAAAAAAACAAAAGATGAGACCATCATATATTGAATGTAAAAGAATTTATTTGTTTTTCCGTCTGTTTGGGCTCACGAAGAGAAGATTTCATTAACGGTGTTTCATGCATTAAATAACAATACCTAAGAAGCCTAGGGTAATCACTTTACCTCGTTTTCGAATATGAAAGCAACCTCATATTACCTTGGTAATTTTAAAAAAACACGAGCCAAACAAATCTTTAGCTTCAATTTAAAGATACTGATATCCTGAAGGCATACCTTGACCTGAAGGTGCAGTCTTTTCTGATTTGTCGTTAGCGTTATCTCCTTCGTGATTGACTCCCACATCAGATTGTGATTGATCTTCCACAGATTGCTCCAAAGAAGACGAAGATGAATCGGAGGCATCGTCCACCTGCTGCTGCATCACGCAATTGAGGCCGGCACTGCTTTTCCACCAAGGCTCATTGGAAGGCTGAGCAATGTTATGTGGGTTGGCTTCCACCGGGTTTGCAGCTTTTGGTGTTGGTAACATAGTCTTCAAACCACTTCAAGAACTAAATCCCAGTTTCCTTAATAAGTAAATACCCAGAGTAAAAAATTACAACAAATCCAATAAAATCCCACAAAAAATACAACAGCTTTTTAAAATCCATTTTACAACTAATATTACATGACCTTCAAAATAAAAAAAACACCCACAAAGTGTTGTCATCAGTGTCATCAAATGAAAGTATGAAATCCCAAAATAAATTTCATCAGCTAATACCTTGAATTAAAAAGGACCCAAAATTCTCCATAGTTATGACTGAAGTTCCATACTTCCATTTAACAATTACCGATAACCCCATATTTTCTGGGCCCCCAAACCTTCTGGGAACCCATTTTCAAGAAAACCCAGAAAAATTACTGCTAAAAATAAAGCCGAAATTTTTCTTGCGGAATGGAAACGGAAGAGCTTGGGTAACAGAAGCAATCTCAAACAGCAGCGATTCAGACACAGATATCACGACAAGAATCATAATTATCGCAAGATTTTGAAAAAAAAAGGGAAAATTGAAATCGGGATTTGGGATTGGACGATATGTTTCCTCCCAAAAGGGGGAAGAAACCGAAGCTGGGGGGATTTTTACCTGCTGCCGCTACGAGATGAGTGAGAAAGATTATTAATTGGATGAATTTTTGTGGAGTCGATAAAGAGAGAGAGAGAGAGAGAGAGAGAGATCGAGCGAGCGATTCACCGATGATGAATGACGCAATCATATGACGACGGTTCACGGCCTCTTCCGCCGACACGTAGCGGCGGGCTTAATCCTTTTTCAACATCCTATCCACTCTCACTTTGAACACCAAGTGGCGAATACAGCATTTAGGATTTTAGGATCACCATTTGACTATTCTTCCTTTGAAAAAAAAATTAAAAAAATTAAATTTCCAAAATGGTCCTTTGTATTAAGGTATTTTTCTAACTCAGTCATCGATAAATTTTAATTACCTACATGATTTTCTATAATTAAAATTTATTTCTAAAATAGTCCTTCATAGATAATGTTACTCAAATGATGATTAATTGAGAGATATTTTGGTAATTTAGTCATCCAAATTTAAAGTATATTCTCGGAACAGTCATTTCTGTACAACTAAATGTAAAATTGAAAAAATACATTGACTATAAATAATTCGTGAATTATTTAAAACTTATAAAAAAATTCTTTTCAATTTTAAATCAAATAAACATCTTTAATTAGAAAAACCATTTTAACAAACATTTAGGATGTGTTTGAGAGCGTATTGACTTATTGATGATAAATAATTTTTTAATTTATAAATTGTTTAATAAAGATTTGTTGTAATGTCACTTATGTGAGATATAAGACATTTAGAAGTATTCATTAAAGATTAGTGATATTATTGTGATATATTTATCGAAAACAGAAAAACGAAAAAATAGTTAAAAATAAGTATGTTTAATTTACTTAGTCTTTTTTAATATTATAAGCAGTTTATAAGTTAGATTATAAGACTATAGAACACATCATCAACAAACACATTATAAGTTAAAAATAACTTCTATGGTGTTTTGTCAAACTTATACGCATAAACAAACATTCACTTAGAGCATGTTCTCTATGTTTGATCTGAATATGTTTGATGTAATTGAACAAGTACTACCTCCATCCCACTCTCTTTGTCCTCTTTTTGTTAGAATAAGTGACCAACGCTAGAGGGGGGGTGAATAGCGTTTGATCGTAGAAATCGCAGGAATAAAAAAACTTAAAAGAGAAGTAAAGAGAAGAGTAAGAGGCACACCAAATTTTACCCTGGTTCACCACAACTTGTGGCTAATCCAGCCTCCCGAGAGACTCTCTCGAGCTACACTACTTCCGTTAAGCTTACGGGTGCTTAACAAACCGTTACAACCTGAGAACTCGAGTCCCACGAGCCTCAACAACACTTGCTCGGAGATACCGCACTCCAAGACTTCAACCCGAAGGAAAAATACCTTTCCTTCATACAATCAAGGGAAACAAGCTTCCCTAAACGTGTTTACAACACTAAGAGCACTCAAGAACAAGACTCTCTTTAAGAGTAGATGTTGAGTAAACTATATACGCTCAAGAACAACTCAAACTTCACAAATTGGCTCTAGAAAGCTATGGAAAATAATGTTATTTGGATGCAATGATAATATGAATAAAGTGAAGTGAATTGATGAGAAAAGCAGACCCAAACACCCCTTTTTATAGTGCCAAAATAGGCTCCAACGGACCAATACATTAAAGGGGTGATTGGCTTGATTTATGGGATTGAATAAATTTAGGATCTGCAGGATATTGGCTTCCCATCGATGTTTGGAACTTACCCGTCGCTGGTAAGCCAATTTTCCTTCAGTTTTGAAGCCAACGGTTACCTACCCATCGATGGGTAGATGCTTCCCATCGCTGGGTGGGAGGTTGACTTTCAAATAAGGAAAGAATCAGCCTTAAATGACTCGCAACGGTCATGCCTAACCATCAATGGTTAAACATTCCCATCGCTGGGTTCCCATCGATGGGTAAAGCTTCCCATCGCTGGGTAAGGGCATTCTGCCTTGTGGTAATGTTGCACCAAGGCTTTAACAGCGATGGGTAGAACTTCCCATCGCTGTTTGGCATGGTACTGCAAATCTGTTTCGTTGAGGGACTGCTTACCCATCGATGGGAAGATCTTCCCATCGCTGGGTGGCATGATTCTGGAATCCCGGGATTACTTACCCATGCATGGGTGAAATCTACCATCGCTGGGTAGATGGCTAGCCCAGAACCATGGCCTAGCTGACCGGCGCTGAAACCCGACCGAAAAATGCAAAGTTCTCCAAAGTAAAAACTAAGTATATAAAACACTTATTTAATGTACTTTGATGTCAAAACAAGCTTTGTAAGTTGAAAACCACGTCGTTAAGGTAAACCACGGTTGACCAAGTCAACACCGTACACGGGTGGTTTTCACCAAAAGACAAAACCGAAAGGTGGTTTTCATGATGTTTTGATTGGAAAACCATTTAAATTCATTCAAAAACAATTCCCACACAAAAAGACTCGAAAACCACTTCATTTAAGTAAAAACCATGGCTAGCTAAGTTAATGCCGTTTCACATGGTTTTTATCAAATGACAAAAAACGAAATGTGGTTTTTGAAGTGTTTTTGATGAAAAACTATTTAAATGTGCCCAGAAGTAAAAACCAGTCATAAAAAGTTTAAAACCATTTGGTTAGTTCGGACGCCAAAAACCAATGCCGAAAACCGAATGCCAAACGCCGGTTTCTGAAACCCGAACGCCGGATGGCCTGGTTTTTGGTTTGGGCGAACACCAAGTGTTTTTAATGTTTTAAACATGTTTGAAAAACATTTTTATGGTGTGAAATGCAATGAAAAGAATTTTAGCCTAAAGAGCCAAGGTGTAAAGATTGGGTCGGTCTTGATCACAATTGTGACCGACTCAACGACACTAAGACTACGGTCTTCGTTCTTGGTCTTCTTTTGGCCCTTGTTCTCTTTCTTCTCATCTTTGGTTCTCGCCTTGTATATTCAATGACTTGTCACGTTCACGGCGGTTTGGCATTATCAAAACCTGTCATAACAACGAACACGGCTCTAGTACGATAACGTGATAAACCCGTGTTTCAACACTTTTGACTTTTAGAACTGTTCATCTAAGCACTTTGACTCATCAAATTCTTTCAATTTATAAGCCTAAATATAGTCATGTGTAATCTTGTTTGATTTGTCTTAACATATAGATTATTAATATATAATTTCTATAATTTTTTAATATACAAATTACAAGATAAAATGGATTAAAGAAGTGTATTGAATGGTGTGCCAAAAAATAAGTGGACAAAGAGAGTGGGAGGGAGGGAGTATTTGATATGATCTATTTTGATTGTAATTATATTTAAAGCTACTTTCTCATGTAATCTAATATGATTGCTATAAAAATAAGTACATGTATTAAACAATACTCCTTTCGATCCAAAAAAACATTTTCTAGTTTGATTTTTTGTCTAACAATAACACACTTTGATAATAAATTGTGAGAAAAGTATATTTAATTATAATATAAATTTAATATAATTGGGTTCATCTTAGGATATACTACGAAGTTTTGATATAACAAATTTTTAAATTGAGTAGTAAAATTGAGTAAAAAAATGAATAATGTTTGACCCTATAAATAATATGTTGAAAAATCTTAAATACTTTGTATGAAATAAAATGTGACAATAACATTTATGGACAATGCTAGAAACTCACCACCTATGCTCCTATAGATGCCAATACATGTGATTTTATATCTACATAGATACAAAGTAATAGTTAATAGTCAATTTTGTTCACATATAATTATCCTATGTACAGATATAAAATCATACGTATTGACAATGTTATCATTGGTGGAGGCATGAATGGTGAGTTTGTAGCACGATTCATATAATAAAACTAGGGCGTCACCACATAGCTGTTATCAAGAGCGACTCCATGTCGCATAGACAACTATCCTTTGTATGTCTGTGCAAAGTACGAGGATACTCGTGAGAGTGAAACTATATTTTTCTAACAAAAGTGCTAGGGCTATTCCAAAAGTGTACCTCAAACGTATATCACCCCCTCCACTATTATATACTCCGTATTATGGCATGTAAAATAAAAATAAATAAATAAATAAAAATAAATAATAATGAAGGGATGGTGTATATTTGGGGCTAGCATTCCTTTTTCTAATTCCTTTTTGTAATGATGAATGAAAAATAGGCAATACTAGAGGTACATGAATGTGATACTCCATTTGTATACCAAACCAACACAGATACACACTGTATGTGTTTTTTTGGGTACAAATAGGGTACTACCACCGGGTTAATTCATGAAAAATACATAAATTTATTCGGGATCTAAGAAAAAAACGCATAGGATGCGCGGGGCTGGGGTTTTGTGACCGGAAACAAGAGCGACGATCCGGTGAGCTGAATCTGGCGGTGACTTCACCGACGGCGACTGGGATCCTGGAAGACCTCTGAGCAGCGGCTACAACGGTGACTTGGGGAGTTCAGATTCAGACGCACGGTTCCTCATCTTCTTCCCCTCTCAGGGTTTAATTCTCCCCCTTTTCTTCAATTATGTCGATTTTTTACTCCCATTCGTGTTGAATTTAACATCCTCTTGGCTTAAATTCCATAGCTAGGGCAAGGATGAAGCTCATCCCAAATTTATCCAGCAACAAGCTTTTAACTTTTAAGTAGAGCAATCATTCATGGGACTTTCATTACTTTATGAAAGTAAAAAAAATCCAACAGCGTAAAAATCGATCTAATCGGAATCGATTAACACAAAACATGTTCCATATACCAAAACATATTCACTCGTTGATGCTGCCTTAGGGTTTTTTATTTGTTGGATTAGAGTCCAATTAGAATTTATACTGTGCCGGGTTAATTGAATCCAATTAGATTTTAACGTTGTTGGATTTTTTTACTGTCATAAAGTAATGAAAGTCCCATGTTTGATTGCTACTTCAAAGTTAAAAGCTTATTGCTAGATGGTGGATTTGTTTTGTTGCATTTCCTTCTTGTTTGGTCTATCTACTTCTTGTTTGGTCCCATGTTTGGTCTATCTACTTCTTGTTTGGTTCTGTTTTCCTTGGACACAAGTGTTTCTATGAACTACTCCAATTCACTGGCTTTTAAAAAAAGGAATAACTACTGGGTTTTCATCTCATTACTACATATAATGTCAGACAAACCTTTTGTATCTATGCACTTTTATTTTTTTCCGAATGCAGAAAAATGTATGCTAACAATGAAGAAGGAGGAGGTCAGGATGCTGCCGAAAGGGTTAAGACGGCTGCACTAACCGCTGCGAAAGGTATGAGTCGTGCCCAGGCTGAACGGGCAGCTGCAGCTGCAGCTAGGAATGTGAATGCGTACGGCCAGAAGGAAGAGGGGCCCAGCAGATGGCAAGAAAGAAAAGAAGCAAAGAGACAGATGTATCTGATGAGCACAGAGAAACAGGTGAGACTGGGCGTGAGGAAAGATGTCAAAACCTCAGTGGCCTCTGCCGGTATCTCATCTTCTTCTCAATGTCAAAAGTGTTTCCAGACCGGGCATTGGACATATGAGTGCAAGAATGAGAGGGTTTACATCTCACGTCCATCTCGCACCCAGCAGTTAAAAAACCCAAAACTGAGAATGAGGGCACCGGTTTCTTATGATTTGGAGGAGGAAGAGAAGAACCCAGAAGATGTCGAGAAGGAGAAGAAGAAGAAGAAGAGTGATTTGAAAGATGCGAAGAAGAGTAAGAGAAAGCATAAATCAGATACAGACGAGTCCAGTGGCGGGAATAGTGGCAGCGAAGCATCAGTTTTTGAATCTGAAAGTGGTGGGACAGGGTCTGGTTCTTCTTCCTCGGGAAGAGGGAGTGAGACGAGTTCTTCCTCTGACTCAGAGGAAGAGAGGAGGAGGAGGAGGAGGAGGCAGAGGAGCAAGAAGAAGACTGTGCAGCAGAGGAAAAGAAGACACCGGAGGCGCAGCAGCCCGACCACATCCGAGTCCTCTGATTCATACTCTGAGGATTCAGAATCAGACTCGGAGGATCACTCTAGCAGAAAGAGGAGCAGCAGTAAGAGGGAGAGTCGAAGGCGCTGAGGCATTTAGGATTTTCAAAACACGTTTACTCCCATTTGAACTCGCGGGTACTTTGGATGATCAATCCATTCTGATTATGTCTTTGTTGTTGGTAAGTTTCCCCTTGAAGGGACATGGCTTCCTAATTACTCCCTATATTCACAATTAACTAGTCATTATGTTTTTTTACCCTTTCATTTTTTATGTTTTACTCCCTGCAGCAACTGCCATGACCTTGGTTTGACTTCCCGCAGTGATGAAAATGCTTTACTCACTCATTCCATTTCATATTAAATGACTATTATGGCTTTCTCGATAAATCGAAAAATGAATAAATGTATACATTAAGTGTAAATTCCATAATTAGTCCTTTATAACAAGGGTTTCCATATTTAGTCCCCTATTATCAAATATTACTCCCGTAGTCCTTTTATGAGTGTCTTTCCACAAATGGTTATTTTTTTATCTTTTGTCATGTTGGTGTTAATTTAAAGGTTAAAAATATAATTTGACATAACCTTATGCCCAGTGACATATTCTGATATTGGTTACATGGATAACAAAAAAATAATAACTATGATTGCGGGCTAGGATTCCGATGCATCGTGAGTGGTCTTTGGAATTGTGTATGACAAGAAAGATATGTTATCATTGTAAAATTATATTTTTAGTCATCAAATTAACACTAACATGATAGAAGATCGAAAAAGGACTAATTGTGAAAAGATACCCACAAAAGAAGGACCACCGTGACAATATTTGATAATAGAAGACTAAATAGGGAAACTTCCTTATTATAAAGGACCAATTATGGAATTTAATCTTTTTAAAAGTGAGGGAGTAATTAGAAGTTAAGAGAGGCAAGAACCGTTAATTTTACCAATGGAGTATTATAGATGCCTTGTGTCATGATATGATCCGAGGTTTCAAGCTAAAAAAACCATTGTGTAATAAATAATATCTTATGTTGATTTTTTTAATGATTAATTGGATTTATAAATAAATTTGGTAGAAGAGTACATGCATAATACAATTAAATATGGAGTATTAGATAATTAATGAAATAAAAATAAAGTTAATAAAATAAAAGATATTGAGCTTCTAATGTGGCAAAGCCCGAGAAACTTTGAGAATTGGGATTCGAGGTAGGACCGTGCTACACACCACTCACCCTTGTTACCAACCTTGCCTCCACCCACTTCTTTACCACATATTTATTTCTACTCATTCTCCACCACCCTCTAATTTTAATTTTCTTGCCTCCCTACCACATGTTTATGTAGGGGGGCATGGTTGGTAGCAAGGGTAATGTTTTTGAGAGTTTGGGCAAAAATTTGAAATTGTAAAACACTAACGTGACATAATCCGAGAGAATCTCAAGGCTCCCCGCACTGGGGATGCTCTTTAGTACCCCCTCCGTTCCGTTTTAAATAGTCTGTTTTGATTTTTGGACATATTTAAGAAAAAGAAAAAATAAAATTGATTTTTCGAAATTGTGATTACTTTTTAGAAGGGTGACTATGAATTAAAAGATAAGGTGAAAAAGGGTGACTTATTTTAGGGGTAGTTTAGATATTTTATTTTTAAAAGTTTACGATAATAACTAACAAACAACTTATTTTGGGACGGAGAAAAAAAGCAAACAGACAATTTAAATTGGGACAGAGGGAGTATCTTACTCTTTCCACCCCACAATTGATTACAATGTTTATTATTCCAAAATCACAATAACTTTGTTTATTTGTGCATTTTCATTGATTATTTGATAAATTAAAATATTTTTGTCTTTTATAAAACTTTTGATAGAGTATATTCTTATAGGAGTGCTACTAGCAGTGCTTTGAGAAATTAGCTGCAAAACCTGTCACAATAGAGTACGTTCGGTAGCTCAGTATCCTCAACTCATCAGGTTGATATAATGAACAGACAATTAGGCACAACAAGAAAATAAAATAAAATATAAGATTCACTGCAAGCCGACCACATTGTCTGCTATATGTTTACTCGTATATTGTTACATACACTTAGACTGAAATTTATAGAGTAGATGATGATGATGATGATGATGATGATGGATTACTGTCTTGTACATTTTCGACAACCTCTTCCTCCTCGATCTCATCGGCATCTTCTTCTCCCTTAACAGCCTCGTCCTCTGCAACAACTCGGGCTGTGCCGCCTTCTTCGGTCGCAGTTTTGTTGGAGTTGTTATGTTCAGTGACATTGTTAACCACTGGCTGTTTTTCCATGATTCCCGATAGAGCCAGACTCGGGGACCACTCGATCACGTCATCGATGATGTTGGACACCCGCCTTTGATACCTGCAGCAAATTTATATATGAGCAATTAATCGAGTTTGCAAGATGGTAAGATCAGACTCGAGGGGGCTCATTCCCAAACAGACTTGAGAACAGAAAACCAACAACAATACCATGTTCTCTTGTTTGTTTCTTAATCGTAAAAACAAAACAAAAAACAGAAGAATAACAAACCCAGTAAAATCCCACAAAAAGTAGGGTCTGGGGAGAATGTGTGTGCCGCATAGTCACATAAATCGCGGTACGCTTCGGTACGGGTACGAAATTCGCTAGATGTAACGAATTCGGTACGAAGGGGGGTAGGTTCATTTCGGTACGAAGCGGTACGGTGTACCATGTATTCGGTTCGGTGTACCAAAAGTCAAAGCATAAGTAAACAAAAATAGATAAGATGAGCATAAGTGCATAACATTACAAAATCCAATTGAAAAACAAGACATCATCTAAAAATTACTGGATATTGAGGACTTTAGATTGGGTTGTGGTTACTGGTTAGACTTGAGAGACATATATATATATATATATATATATATATATATATATATATATATATATATATATATATATATATATATATATTTGGAGACTGCCTAGGAAAAAACGAAACATTAAAGGGAGAAGTCAGAGAACAATCGAGAAAGGCACGGAGACCATGAACGACTCGCACGGAACTTGGGGAAGTGCAATCGCGAATTGACCTTTTCAATTTACGGAGAAAACAATCGCTTGGAAGAGGGAAGGTCGCGGGAGAGACGAAATTGCGATTTGGATCGCTGGACCGCCGGCGATTGGTACTCCGTATTATCCGACTTGGTGCGACGTTCTAGGGCATCTGGATCGCCGGCTAATTGCGAATTGGAGCGCCGTACCACACCGAATTGGATCGCCGTACCGGTGGCGATCGGTTCGCCGGCGACTTGCGATCCGGTACGATTCGTACCAATTCGGAAATCGCGGCTAGGTAAGCGAATTCTGTAACTATGTGTGTGCGTGTATACCTTGGCCCTACTCAGGAGTAGAGAGATTGTCTCCAATAAATCTTGGCTCAAAGACAGATGCACATACAGAGTAAACACATGAAGCACACAAACCGATACTAGCAATTAGAACCCATGCAACAGAAGGCACACATCCATAAGCTACAAACTAGGGTATAAATGCACCACCATAAACTACAACGAACTAAAGCCGAAAATTGTACCCAACTACTATAACAAAAAATCTAGAAACAAGTACAATTTTTGAAAGTTATAGTCAAAAAATTTACTGTTACTCATCCTTTCTTTATTTAGCAATTGCTTAACGCTTATTTTTCAAGTTTCAGTATTTGATTGTTCTATCCTGTTTTTATATGCTCTTGAGGCCCAAGTCTTTCGAAAATAGTCTTTGTACAATTGTACATCCACCCTCTCCAGAGTCCAGACCCTGCTTGTGGGACCTTACTAGGTTGTTTTCATAACCAAAGTTTGATTTCTCTTGGTACTTTCAAAGGTAAAATAAAGAGAAACATAGAACACCAATTTCATCCATTTTCCCACCAATTTTTGGGTTTCAAGCATAGCCCTAATGATTTTGATGTCTTGCAATACGAAATATACATATATGAGTCAGCTTACCTGGCTCTTGCAGCCTCATCAGGAGCATGATGTCTCAGGAGCAATATGGCAAGCACAGACACAATTGCATAGAATAGCCTTGCTGACCACTTAGGTGGCTCCCCTTCATCTTTCTTGGACCAAAATTGGAATAAATCTTCCAGAGTTGCTTCCTCAGCAAGTATGTTGGGGAAAACCCAAACTCGCTTTCCCAGAAGGATCCATATAGCACCAAAAGTCAATGCCCTCACTGCAATGTTATATGAATCCCTTAATTTATTACTGCATTAATTATGTGAATCAATAACCCAAGAATAATCAAAGCAGTTTTTTTTATCATAGAGAATATTAAAAGGAGTAGGATGAGCCTAGTCAAAGATAAACACGACCTCACCTCTTGAGTATACTTTCACAGTGACTTGGACCCAATTTATCAATAAACAAGACATAAGCATTAGAAAACTTACCTAAAAGAAGGCAAAGTATGAGGAGGAGGAGACTTGCACACGAGTAGAGTATAACTAGCTTGCACTTATGAGGATACACGGGAAATAAGCAGATTGCTAGTGTCAATACTGGCCAGGAAAATGAGAGAAGTGTCTGCCAAAGGGCACTTCGTTTTGCAAATGTCCATGCAAAAAAGGCATCTTTTTCAGAAAACACTTGATCCTGCATGCATATAAAGAAATAGTGATATATAGAAATACAAGTATTCATAACCTTAGAGACAAAGTGGAGATTTTTTATAGATCAAGATTTTAAAAAAAAACCAGCAGTAAGATTAAGCATATGATGGTGTCAACGAGGCATCACTACAAGGCATTCATACACTACGTCACTATCTAGTACCCCCTCCGTCCCTAAAAGAAGTTCACAATTGCTTTTTCACAAAGTTTAAGAAAAAGTGAAAAGGAAAGCAAGAAGTTCTATTAAGGACAGAGGGAGTATTATTGTATGCATAGATATGAATATAAGATAGACTAGATAAGTTATAATGATCGAAAAATATCCACATCATTCACACAGAAGCACACTTGCATAAACGATCATGATATACTAGAACATACATGGTATATCTCCAAATGTGCTGGCCAAGTAGACAGTTTTTTCTTTCCTGGTCGTACAATCTTTACCACACGGTCACAACGCATTAGTAAATTCTTTCGAAGCAGAGCATTTGCAATATCGTCAGTTTCCATACTTTTATCTGATTCAAGTATATCTTTGAGTTCTGGATGTTTCTTCAAAAAGTTTACAAGGTCCTTTCCCCTGAAATACTCTACTCTAGTCTCCTGAAGGACAGCCCATCTAGACGTTAAGTCCTTGTGATCTCTCACTTTCTCAGCAAATACCTGATAAACATCCTTCTTTGCAGCCTGTTTCTGGAATTGAAAA